ATTGGCTCGGGACCAGGAGCTTGTAAAATTTGATGAAATTCAACGAGCTCGTAGCGTGGCGTCGAATTTTTCGCTATACTGCGCCCCAAGATCGTTACGAGGGATGCTCGTTGAGCTTAATTGGTATGAAAAAAGTTACTTTGCTCGTTATATTGCATTTCTCATCGAAGGGTTACTACTTAATTATTGAAACTTTAGTGTTCAACACGTTGATGTATTATGTATCTTTCAGGCATATTTTGCAGGAGTGATAATTCGAGAGAGTGGAATGTTTGGTTAATTATATTACTAATAATTTGTTAGTTATGACGAAAAATTTTTTTAAATACAATATGGAGCTGGTTCGAGATGTAAGTACAATACCAAGGTACACTTTTGTTGCGCTAAAACTAGATACTTAGTTACCCTCGTGTAATTTTTACAAAAATTAAAAAAAATACAATGCTGTTTCTCGTCGCTAGAAGGTGAAATAAAGATTTCGTTTGACCAATAATGTCATATATAATAGATCAGTCGGTTTGTTGACCACATTAGTGGAATATTATGCTATGAGCACAAAACCTCATGTACAAGATAAACAAATAATAAAAAACTAATTTTATTTCTAATTGTTTACAACAATAAGTAAAATGCTCATGACATAAAAACAAATAACAATAGTAAAAAAGTTTACTTTCACTTTTTTATGTATTAAAACATTGATCTAATCTTTAAAACTAACAAAAAGTTACAACTATCATTATTTTATCTGTGAAAACTTGATCTTTGAGCTGCGGAGACTTGCAGTGATGGTTTCTGGTGTCCGACAATTTATTTCTCTTCTCTGTTGGAGAATCGGAGAATTCATTATAGACACCTAAGTTAAGCTTTTATCACCTTATTCCATTTAAAAGGAATAGTGTGATGTATGATCTTATAGCCCTATATTCTTGACTATTTCTGCATAGTTTTTAATTGATTATCAACTTTTGGGATCGAGGCTTCCAATACCCTGAAAATCCTACCCTTTGCTTTCTGCCATCGGCTGCATAAAGTTTGTGGACATGGTATTTTATCTGCAGCTTCTCTTTACCGACATCACTTGCCTACCGCTGTAAAGTTGCTCCCTGATTTACCAACCAGTAGCAACCCAAACATTCTATTCCGCGAAGACCATATAAGGGTGCAGCTTACAGAGGGTTGAAATCACTTACCACGGGCTGATTCAATTTTTTTGGGAGTAGGGGTTTGTTATTTCATACCAAGATAATAATTTTTATCATTTGTTGGAAATCCATCAAACGCTATACATACGTAAATTACCCTTGGCTCATAAGATAGAGAATCTGCGATAACTATATTAGATTACAACTGTTTAACTATATTGTGGTTATTAAAATGAGATCGAACTATGATTTCATTTTAAATAGTTTAAGCGACAGTGTGGTAATTTATTTTAAACAATAACTAATAAAGTAACCATCATATGTATTTATTGGTCAGTGCGGTTTGTGTAATCCAGTTCGGGTATTACCACAAGAACGAGATGAAAAGAAGCATTAATAAGGTATAAATGCATACAATAGCATTGTGCAAGTTACATAGCTTAGAAATCTCGAAAAATTTACAAAAGTAACAATAAGTAAATAAAAGTAAATTTTTTTTTTTTATACTAGAAATGAGATGCGAGGAACGTTGTTTTATCCGGTTTTGGTTTTGCAAATACGTTGAAACCAAAGATGAAATCACTTCAATAGCGTGAAAAATTTATCCTCGTGTGCATATCTATTAATGAGACAATTTGTTTACGTTAATAATATCAGGGATTCCCAGACGTTTTTCCTACGCAAATCATCGACTTTTCCTGCAGAATAATTTTTTTCTACAAACGAAATGCATCATCATCGATACGACAAAGCACACACGACCAACGTGTGCAAAGGAAAATCACTTTATCATAATCCACACATGTTTAAGTTGTACATATATTACAATATCCATAAAATAATGATCATGAACTACAACGCACGTGCCCCTCTGTCGCGATGAGTAATTTAAATCGTAGTAGTACAATTTTTTTTTTGATTGCCAATTGATAGAAACCTATGTACAATCCACGTATCGATTACACGATCTATGAAAGTGCGATTAATGCAAAAATGGGATAGACACGATAACCCACGGCTTCCCAGCACGTTTTCGCATGATTTATCATCAATCAGTCTCGAGTCCCGCAGTCAAGAACACTGATTGTTCTTCGATCACCACCAGATTACAATCCGCCTCGTGGATCAACTCTTAAACTTACGTCTATACATCCCAAGTGCACTCGGTTTCTTATGAGATATTGAAATTGTGAGGTAACCAAATTTGTTGAATTGAAAATTGCATCCCTGAAGCTATTAAAGGTAAAAAAAAAAATTTATAGACAACCAACTACAGCAAAAACTCGGCTGGAAAATAAGAGAAAGAAAATCTCAAGCGTTGTAAGTGTGAACGACTGACCTCCCCTTATCTTTAAAATCCATTCTAAAATATTATTCCTGCAGCAGTCGAAGTGAGGAGCTAAAGTCATAAAAATAATGACGACGCACACCCAACACTCCGGAGCGTTTCCTTAAAAAGAAAATCGGCCAAATGAATAAAATATGTCTTTGCGTCCCCATTTATAAGCCGGTGGCAGTTTATTTCCATTTATTTTCTTTCCCTTCACCGCCACCGAGAAGAACCGTCGATCTTATCGTTCTCACGCGTTATCGCTCCTATACGTGCGTCCAGACAGACGTGTGGTACGAATGGCTCATCCAGCACGCACCACTTGGCGCCCGATAAAGCGTCCAAATAATCACTGGTTCATCGATCATTCGCGATATTTTGATAATCAGTTATTCCAGGTAAAATCGCGCTTCTAATCGTTTGGCACGTTTGCTCGCTCCTTTTTTCCCCCAAGACAACCGGCCAAGGCTGCCCTCGTCCACTTGTCATCGCCTCTTTTTTCTTTTATTCTTTCGTACCGTGGTAGCGCTGGTGATGCCATTATTGCTGGCAGCGCACTTCAACCTTATTTCGCCGGTATTATTTTCACCAGTGGCTCCCAGCCGTGTAGTTAAAGGGGCGGCAGAGAAAGGGTCAGGGAGGGGAGGGGGACTATGTGTACACGGCGGAGACTTCCTTTTGCGTCGCTTTATAAATTTATATAACTTACTTGAGCAAAGTGGCTTACCGCTACCCTCATCGTCCTTTTATCGACGTGCATTTTCCTCGTTCGGGGGATTGGGTTCTTTACTTTTTTACGTTGAAGCTGCTCTCTGCTTACCACCGCTGTGAAACTACGTTTTTAACACAAATCAAACCATGTAATCATAATGTTGTTCTGCAGGTATTCAATTCAATGATGTTCGAGAAGTGCATGGAACAGTCCAAAATTACGTGAAACGTAATCTTAAAATCAATCGTTGGTTCGTAAATTAACACAAATATTACTGTGTGAAAAACACTTGCACTCAATTTTCCTATAAAGAGTTATCTTCATTTCATTTTCTGAGGCTGAAAGTTGGTTTTTTTTGGAAAACCCATTTTTCTTTTTTTCATCTGCTTGCAACATACGCATAATTATTTTATTGCAATCTGTGGTAGCAAAGATATAGGTGTGTAAATTACAATTTTTTTAATTCGTATTTGCAACTTCAAAAGTTTTGACTCGATCATTCACGGAATCGACACGAGATGAGCCGTCAATTAATCAGCTAATTTAGGTGAAACGTGCACGCTTTAAAGCTCCAGACTAATCAGATTTTACCGTAAAACTATATCTACGGAAGAAGATCGATTTCAAAGAAAAATTAGCGGGGAAATGTAAAACGATCCAATTAAATTTTGACTCAAAGTATTTACTCACGGGGAACTAGTAATTAACTGCCTGAGCCCTGCGCAAACGTTATTTGATTTCCCACTACAAAGCTTTGCATAGACAGGTCGGAATGAATACTCTAAAAGTATATGTTTTATGATATGGGATTTAAAATGTGCTGTGGATCCATCATGAAATTAAAATATTTTATTAAAAACAAGAACGAAAATCTTTTATTTCGGTTTATCAATTTGTATGAACCGGTTGTGTTTTTTAATGATCTCTTCTTTTACTACGAAAATTATAAGATCTGAATATTGGTACACGTATTCTCGAGACGTTGAGAATGAGACAATACTAGAAGGGAAAAAAATTTAATTTTGAATCATCCTCCCACACGTTTCGGCCATTTAAGCTGTAATATTCCGTACTTCCTTCAATCAGTTACAACTATCTATAGATGTAAATCATCCAAACCTGTGTACTAAGTGGAACACAAAATTACAGAGTAAAACGTAGTGAACATTTATATTTTATTCTCTTTATTTTCGAAAGTTTACTCATTATTCTTCGAACCTACTTTACAAAAAAAAAGAAAAAAATTATCAAGTACCTTGATATTTCCTCTTATTCCGTAAACAAGCAATAATGAGTAATTTGCGTTATTCTTTATTACATTATCTTTATTACTACGTACAGACGCGTCTGTTATCAAAATACGCGCTACGTTAAATATCTCTGTATGTACACAGGAATTCACAACAAACGTACAGGCAAAAAAAAAAAGGATTTACCTAATCACTCATAAAACACTACCCTAAATTTGCCTATTTTCTTTAGCCACAGGAAAATATTAGTTCACAATCGGTTCGTTATCTGATGCATATTGTTATAAAGTACTTCACATACAGTTCGCACACTCTTATCAAAGTTGGCCAAAGAGAAACAGTACAGTCACGCAACAAAACAATCCAACTCCAAGCAAAGCCTAAAAATAACCTCGAACTCTACATCAATTATGATTATGCAACGAGGCAACAGTTTTACAAATCAGAAAATATCGAGGGGGGGGGAGGAGTGCTCTCTGATAAACTCCCAATGATGAATCGAGCGATTCAGGATTGTCCGTATGTACTATACAGCAGCCGGAAAGCCGTTAGTGCTGCGTTAGCTGCCGATGCCGCCGGTGCGCACGCCGGGAGGAAAACTTTTATCGAAAATCAAACTCTACGCAATTTGCTCGCCAAAGCGCGCTCTCTCGGGTACAGATACATTTTTTTTTCTTCTCAATTTTCAACTCGCTCCCGAGCGAATTAACGCCGAGGGAAAACTCTCTTTTGATTTTTCAATTGTAATTTCCAACCGGTTACCGGTGCAAGTCTATATTCATGTATACAGCCGCCAAGCGAGATAATTCGATAACGATTGACTCGATATAACCCGATAACTTTCAAAAGCGAATCAGGGAGAGTACGATAATCGAGGGAGTTTGAGAGAGAAAAAGAAAGGCAATGAAGGCCATTCAGATAGAGGAAGGTACGGCGAGCGCGGACGAGCCGTTCGTCGTGAGCAACCGGCAGGTACTCCTGATCGGCATGAACGCTGTCAATCACGTGCTGATACTGGGCACCGTCGGCTTCCTCTGCTACGAGGCACGGGAGTTCAGGCACTCCACGGACCTGCACGCCCTTTTGTGCACTATCGGGGTGAGTCCACAGTCAACATCTGCGTCTTCTCCTGCCCCACGTACGTCCATTCCAACTGGGAACGTGTATCTCTTCTCTCTCTCTCTCTCTCCCTCTCGCGGAGCTAGCGTGCAAATATTTGACTGGCGATTGATTTCGCCCTTCCGTGTGTGACACGGGGTGTCTCGAGCTTGCGGAACTTTCGTCGTGTACGTGGGTGCAGGCGTAGCCCCTGGCAAGGGTAATCCTTTTAATTTTGCGGTATTGCCTTTTTTTTCCGCAGCCCGAGGTGAGATCTTTTTGAACTTTATATTGGCTTTCCGGGGGGGGGGGGCAATATCGTTCGGGTGGAATTCCGAGCGCTTCCTCCGAAAAAAAGCTATTTCGCCCAAAAGTCAATGGGCAAAAAAGCACTTTTTGGGGAGAGACGGGGCGAGCAGAGTTCCCCCCTTCAATCAACGGATCCCCTTTGGTTAAATTGTTGTTTATTCAGCGACGGATACATATGTGAACGTGTACACCCATATATATGTACACGCAGGTGCACGTTCAGTGCACCAAAGAGCCCAAGTTACGAAATCCAGAGTGTGGATTCGGAGGTGCTTTTGCACGGGCCTTCCGTCGGATGTGCGACCTAGTTCAATAAATCTCGACGCGCTCCTTGATTTCGTTTAATTGTTGGATGGCCCGTGTTATCGAAGATGCGAAATCAAATAACGCTCGTAGAGTCGATTGGTTTTGGCCGTTTGTTCGTTTGCCCTTGTTGTTGTTGTTGCTAGTAGTGTGCACAGTGGGTCTTGATTTCGCGTTCTCCGGTCGATGATCTTGGTAAGCTCGTTTACCGGGGACAGGGGAAAGTTTCGGCAAGCCGGAAGTCCTCGTGGATCCAGACCGAGAGATATATGCTCGGCCCATCCGGATAAACGGTGTATCTCTGTCTCTCTCGGCATTTGTTGGGCTCGAATGGAATCAGTCTCCATTGATGAAACTCCATGTGTACACGACCGACGACATTTGATTAAAAACTTTTCGTCCAATAGAGAAATCAAGCCTCCGTTTATCCGATGGTATATGCATGAAAGCTTCGGACATTTATCTTACCTCGTTATGAAAGAAAGGCCAACTACTTTTGCGAATTGACAAAGTATATTTTGCGCGATTTTACAGTCGCTCAAATCTAGTTTATCGTCGCTAGTTAACGCGAAATATTGTTGAAAGTAATGAAAGTGTTGATGACTTGTTTTTAAATTTATTTTTTCCTCAAGTGAACGTTTCGTGCAATTTTGTACATGCGCAAGTAGGAAATTGAAAAAAAAAATATATCGCGTAATTTGAATGTTTTACGTTCAGTACGCGATTATACGTTACATTACGTAAATTTTGACTATAAGCGTTAAGAATAAAAACATATTACGGGTGCGTATCGAAGTGAGGACGATGCATTTCAAATTCGCTGAAACTGCTCATGAGAAATTGTTTATGTATATTGTATTTATATTCTAATCTAGTACTTAGCTAACTGTACATTTGTGAGAGCTGTACGTGTTTCTACCACACGGTTTTCATAAATTGATTATTCTATTCTATTCTATTCTATTTTATTCGCATCAAAACTTTGAAACTTTTTCCAATAAACCCAAGTACTGACGATTATTTTTCCTGTCTATCGTCTATATGTGCGAAGCATAGGAAGTAGAGGTGCAATGCTACTACAGCGTATTTACAAAACGCTTTCGAATCAGACTGACTAGAAATACGATTCGTTAAAAAATGCCCGTCAATGTGATGCACAGTCGTTATAACGCATTTTATACGTTAAATGATTCGAATCGTTGTATTTGTTATCTTAACAACTCTTTTTAATAGCATGCAGGTTGTCAAGATAACAAATACAACGATTCGAATCATTTAACGTATAAAATGCGTTATAACGACTGTGCATCACATTGACGGGCATTTTTTAACGAATCGTATTTCTAGTCAGTCTGATTCGAAAGCGTTTTGTAAATACGCTGTAGTAGCATTGCACCTCTACTTCCTATGCTTCGCACATATAGACGATGGACAAGAAAAATAATCGTCAGTACTTGGGTTTATTGGAAAAAGTTTCAAAGTTTTGATGCGAATTTGAAATGCAATTTTCCAAATTTCCGTAAAAATTATTTACGTAATGAGCACTGATTATTCAAATAAAATTAATTGCAACAAATTAAACTTGGGACTATGAAAAATCTCTCCTCACTCGAAATCCTTGCGAAGGTCGTAGAAGACGAAAAAACAATTCACTCACCCGAAGCGGCCTGCAAACAATTTTAATTTCAACCTAAGCATCGAATGCTCGCACATAACCGAGTACAACAACAAAAAACATAAGCCGTTCCAGCGGAACTTTTCCCGCGAAAAACTTTCAAAAACTCGGTCGCAAAGTTCTCACTCGCACGAGCAAAAAGTTGCGTCTGCTTACCCTTGTAAACGATCCGAAAATTACGCTGCAGCGCTACGCAGCGATAACCATCGGCATAACCGCATGGTGTGCTGTACAGCAAACTCGTTTGCGGCGCGCGAAATTAGTCAAAACGAGCCCCCATACCGAGAAAGCAAATAATCCTCCTCCTCCTCCTTCTTCTTCTGGGGAATCGAGTTTTTTTAATCAGAATCACGAGGCCCGACCGCTTAGTGCTTAGGGCTCGGGGCAACTCGTTGATTGCTGCTAGGAAAACTTTCCTCCCTCTTTTCTCGAAAACTCGAGGGGCTTAGAAAAAAAAAAAGAAAAGAAAATACACACAGAGAACTGCCTTAAACTCAACTACCTGCACATATTTACGTACGGGCTGTATATGAATTATCCTGTCCACATTAGCCTATTATATAATTATGTTCCTGACTTAAATAAACTTAAAATAAAACTTGAGCATTAGGCGTACTCTAATAGCAGTGGATAGATTAATAAATAATCAGTGAACTCAAATGGTTGTACTGCTAACTTTTGTTTATTATTGAACTACGTTTCGGCCCGTACAGAAGCAAGTTTCAAGGCCCTCATCAGGTTCAAATAAAATAATTGACCGCTCAAACGGGTCGCGTCAGGCAACGCGCTAGATGTTATTATTGCGAATACCAATAAACGAATAATCGTATTCCCAATACCAATAAACGAATAATCGTATTCGCAATAATAACATCTAGCGCGTTGCCTGACGCGACCCGTTTGAGCGGTCAATTATTTTATTTGAACCTGATGAGGGCCTTGAAACTTGCTTCTGTACGGGCCGAAACGTCGTTCAATAATAAACAGAAGTTAGCAGTATAACCATTTGAGTTCACTGATTATTTATTAAAATAAAACTTGTCGAGGTTCGTATGGAGAATATAACTTTATTAGTTCGCCAATGAATACAAACTAGACTTTGTTGTTGCTCGTTTGCGAACAAAATAGATTGTGACACTCGTCTACCAACGTAAAACCATAAAAGGTAAAAAATAATAGCAAATAAAACGCAAGAGTGTCAACAAGTTGTCACGGTAACGAGAGATTCGATCGAGAGAAAGTAAAAATGTGACTGAGTTGAGGCACTCGAACATCCCTTTCTGTGGTCCTCCCTTTTTATCAATCGCTAAGATGATTAGTGAGGAAGAAAAGATTGCCCCCGACCAGCCCTTGTTTGACTGATCGTCACAAGACCTTCTCCACGACTTATCTAAGCGTGTGACAAGTCATTTCCTCATTTTGATGGATATTAATAATTTAAAACAAGTAATAATACAAGCGAACGCTTGACTATGTATAGAAAGAAAAAACTTGGTAGTTCGTAACAATATAGGTATACAGTCAATTCGTTGCTGTTAAGTGCGTGGATTAGTATTATATCCAAGGAACGTGTTTGAATCGAGGGGCTGCGCACTCTTGAAGTCATTAAAAAAAACTTCGTAAGTCATTCTAAGTCTTTCAAAGATCTCGTAAGTCATCAAAAGACTTCAGAGTGCGCAGCCCCTCGGTTTGAATTTATTAACAAGTCCTTTCTCGGACACGTAACATTTTTGGCTGCAGGTGCAGAGATGCTGTTTGGATTTTTCCTCCGATGCACGTACGTGAACGAAGCGTATGTGTATACACATATGCACCTCGATTCGAGAGAGATGTTGCTGGAGGTGCGACGGCTGACCTATATTCGAAAGAGGGCACTTGAACTTTTAGTATTTACATGCACGTGCTTTCATTTCTTGCTTTTATATTGTATTAATGAGACTTGGGCGAAGCTTTCATTAATTCATTAATGCGATATTCCGAAAACATACATTGCATTTGCATAGTGATGAATAGTAATAAAATAAATAAAACACACGAGTATTTGGAAAGCATTGGTCACTTACAATACGATTAGTGGACGTAATCTCATTATTGAGATCACGTATATGTACATGAACTCGATTGACATTTATTTGGCTCGTATGAATGGAGGTTTATGTAAGCTGGCCGATCGAAATGTTAATTATCTGCGCTTTAGTGCGTATTAATTATAGGGTTTGACAATGAGGATTCGAAAGTACCTTGTTAATTCACGAACCTATTATATGTCCGTTCGAAGAGAGCTCTATGATTGTCCGCAGCGATGAAAAGATTTGGGTTTATTTCTAATTAGAAATTAACGCCGATAAACATGCGAGTACAAGGTGACAAAGCAGTATGTGCTTGTGATCGGTGTCACGGAAAAAATACTCGTTGGTTTTTTAAAATGCAAATGTCCATATCCTATATCAGTAAAAAGTTACAACATTAAAACTCGGTATGGATACTATATTCTTTGATCACTTTTACGGTAAAATATAAGGTGGGGTTTGAATGATAATCAACAATTATGACCATCGAATATCTTTTTGAGGCAACAAATGTGGGTATAATTCCATGACAACAGACTAAAACGATTCTTTTTCGTGAATGATTGCAGTACGTGCTGCTGATGGCCGAGGCGATCGTGTCACTCGCAGGCGAGAACGCATGGACCTTCCGCCTGACTCGCCGAGGCAGCACCCACGTGCACTGGATCCTCCAAGTGCTCGGGGCCACCTGCACCGTCACCGGCGTCCTTTACAAGTACCTGAACAAGCGAAGCCACTTCAACTCCCTCCACTCCATCCTGGGCATCGTCTCGGTCGGCTGCATCACCGTGGTCTGCGTGTCCGGCCTGCCGGCTCTGTTCGCTGCCAAACTCCGGAGGAAGATCAAGCCGGTCACCGCCAAATTCGCCCACAACTCGCTCGGGGTCTTGTGCTTTGTCACCGGCATGGCTGCCCAGGTGCTCGCCTATCACAGGACGAAGTTTTTAAGGACTAAGTATGGCGACGAGGTCATATACGCTGTGACCGTGACGACTGTTCTGATAACGCTACTGTCCCTGGTCGGGGCAACTCGGCAGCTCAGCCAGCAGTTACGGGGTGTTTTGCGGCTCGCGCGGAAGTGACTTTGTTGTCGTTTCCAGCGAGGCAGGATTGGACAGTCGTTTGGAAATCGTAACGAAGGGGGATTTTTTTTTTTTTTTTTCATTTTCCGGTGCTCGTGTGGAAGGGCGAGAAGAGCTTGCAACTAGTTTTTGATTGTCAAGTGTCTAGTGCGCACTGTAAGGATTCGAGGAGTTTTCGAAAGCCTCGGGTTTTTTTTCGCTCAAACACGGTCAAGTTTTATTTTTGAACAGATTGGTTTTTTCGCAAAACAGCAAACAACCCTAACAATCAAAGTTGCGCGCTGAGACAAGATTCGCTCGCTGTGCGAGAATCGAGGGCGGTTTTTTATTTTTCTTATTTTTGATGCAAATTTTTTCAAATATCGGAAATCCATCGTGCTCGGGGAATAAAAAAGAGATTTACCGTTTGTAAATAACAACGACGAATAAAAAAGTTATTGGTAAAACTTATCGTCACACAGCTGCCATCATAAAACGCTTCCACCCGGAGGGGAAAAAAATGCTCCTCAATACGATATTTTTTTTCAAAAGGTCTACATAATAAAGTTTTGTACCAGTCATAGGTCCACACAGTTTGATGGTCTACTAACTTGAATATTCGCCAGAGTCAAAAAATCCACACCAAATAAACAAAAAAGCTCGAGCTTTCAACCAATCTGTATTTTCACCCTACACTTGTTAAAATCGACGTTTCCAATCTAGTAGCGTAACGGTACAACATACTCGGAAAATAAATGCAACAAACTGTCACGGAAACGAATCAAAAAGTCAAAGGCCAATTGCCACAAGCACGTTTCATACTAAAATAAAAAAAAAAAAAAAAAAAAAAAACAACCAAGCAAACTTTTCCAAACTAAACTCCATGCACGCAAAGAACAAACGAAGCGCCCCCTACCTCTTCTCTGGAAATTAATTATCCTCCCCTGCACGCTCAACAAGTACACAATAGCCCCCTCGGTCGGGCGCGCAATAATTCATGATCGATGGACCAGCCGAATCGAGCGGGTCAACTTTGTTTTTCCGTGGCTGCACGGAACGAGGAGACGGAGGGGTAATATAGAGGCGCACCTGTGGGGGCGATTAACCGGAGTACCAGTGGGGCCGATGCATAATGGCCGAACAGTTATCGCCGGTAGCCCTCTCTCTGTCTGTCTGTCTGTGTATGGCACGCTCAACTAGCCCCGGCTGTACTGTTGTGTCGCGCGCGATTACGCGTGTATAATAAGCGCGTCAATAATAGCGCGGGGCCGGGTGGACATTGAGCAGTAAATGCCCATTAAATGGGCCACTACGATCCCTCCCCCCCCCCAAACCTCTATTATATTACGCGTGTGAAAAGCGTCCGTTTATTGTCACTTGCTGGTTGCGGTGTACAAGCGCTCCTTCCGTGTAGCCAAGCTTTGTAAAATTGAGTAAGCACCTGGTACAGGTTCAAGTTTGATGAAAAATAAAACTTGCAGTGGCAATCGAAAGTAGTTTGAGTTTTGAATCGAAGGAAGTTCGGTAGGACGCAGCATTTCCTTTTTTAAGAGAGAAAAAAAAACACACACACACACACACACAAATAAAGGGGGGAAAAAGGGAGCAATGTAGCATTGCACCGCCACGGGCGTTCGAGCGCTCGGTCGCTCAGTGAATGGACGGTCGCGATATTCTCTCGCTCGCTGGACCTCATTATAAAAACGACGTCAGCCGGAATGGACCGTTCGGCTGTTCAACCAGTGGTGGTATGGGTCGCCTTTACAATGCGCGCGATATTGCATGCTCTCTCTCTGCTCCCTGACTTGGAACTTTTTTTTTTTTCTCTTTTTCTTTTTCATGAAAGCAGGGCACATGTAATGATCGGATATTTCAGGATTTTATCGGCTCCCCTCGTGTACGCCTTCAGACTTTATTGCATATTTTTTGTGTAGTGCTATTGATGCAACTAGTACAAGCATATGTGCGCTTGTCTTTTTTTTCTAAAATTGCCCAAGTAATCGATATTTTGATAAAAAATATATTTTTTTTTTTTTAATACCATTTGGCGTTGTGCGTGTTTCATCTGACGGCGAGCCTGTACTTACCTTATTTCTTTTTACTAGAGTATAGGTGTTATTTGCTGACTGAAACAAGGATATAGGTTTTATTTCTTGTTTGAATGCCAATTGTACAATGCTATGTTTATTTATTTTTATATTTTTTGCACATATCGTGAATATCATATTGAATGAAGTTTATTCTTACGCTGTTCACCTTTACGTGTAACGAATCGATAGACCTTTGGTAACAATCGTGAATCAATAAATACAAATTCAAACGCATTTAACAATTTGTTTTCCCCCTTGTCTCCTTTTTTTTCCTAGCTCGATCTTTCATCGTGAATAAAATTTAAAAATAAGTGGTATGAACAACTTTTCGATCTTGAACTACATCAAGGATCACGCTTATTTAGTACACTTACGTAAGTAACCTACATATTTTTCTTATAATATATTTTTTTCGTTTTTTAATATGTTTTCTACATAAATTACAGTTACGATTATTTTTTGCTCACGCTTTATACATGCGCACCCATTTAATTTTCTCGTACGTGTCAATCAACACTTTATGATACTTCTCACGGAGTCCAACTCAACGAGATTCCAATAATGAATAATTTAATTATTTATAGCCGTACAATATTAGTTTTAAGATTTAATTACACGCATCGACTCGATGCTTTCACACACTGTGGTTTCATTAAAAAAGTTTCTCCTGTTAACGTGTGTTATCTTATACGTATCAAACAAATTATCAACACTATCAACATTTTTTTTTTTTTTTTCATCCTTTTTTTTACATGTACAATTACGGTTTGAGAAAAATGTGCAACACTAAAAAATCTGTTTAGATAAAACTGGGAAAAGTTTTTTTTAAATAAACATTTTGTTTTTTTTCTTCCTTACAAAAGACGTTCCTTATCGAATTAATTCGTGATATTAAATCATCATATAGTTATTAATAATTTTTAGGGGAGAAGTACATATATACGTGTCGAGTAGAAGAAAATTTTTGTTCGACTTTGGTACATAGTTGTATAAATGTATAAGGATGTTATGAAAATCATACTGAGAATCATCAACTCGGTATTTGCGTGAAAAAAATCAACTGTATATAATATTCCAAGATCTAATAGTATAAGAAATATTTTTTCATGCAAAAACCGCATCATCAAACTTTAAATACTGCTGTGTGATTTTCAATTAGATACATCGTCTATACTTAGGCAGTACGTTATATATTATTTTTAATATCGTGCGAGATATTTTTTATTTCTTAACGCATTTAGGATGCCCTGTAGGCATCCCACTTCTCCCCTGACATAGATTAAAAAGTTATTTACACTGCACGTTGCGAAAGAAAAATTTAAAAATAAATCACACACACACACATACACAAACAGACACTCTTTTGACATAATTGCAGGATATTTTTACATTTTTCTGCTTTTGAACGCGTTCACGCCTTATCCGAGTAACCATTGAGACCAATACAACACATCCTTTGGCACTGTTCTTTCTGTTCTTTACTGTACTCTAATAATAACTCAGACATAATAAAAAAGCACAAAAAATTCGTCCATTCTTCCGTAAACAAATAAACAGTGCACACAGGGCGCTAATTAAATGATGACGAGCTGTCACTGCACTGCATTATTTATATAAACATGCGCGTCCACGCTCGCACTACGCTATTTAGAACCGTACGATTTACGAGCACCCTCGCACGCGTGTATAGTTGTAGTAGCAGTTGCCAGCTATGCGTGACGTCAGCGGTGATCTTTGCAAATTGACGTAATGCGTGCTCGCGTGCCTCCCGTCACCCCAAGCGTGAAAAAAGCGCCCCCCCCCCTGTCACTACCGCTCCCTTAACATCACGAGTTATTTCGCGCGATGGGCGAGGGAGGGAAAAAAATGCACTTCAGCCTGCCTCTTTTCCTTTCTCTTTTGTCTGCTCGAAATACACATACCCCGACGATGTTCGTGTCGTTACACTCCTGACAACCACCTCTTTTCTCATGGTTCATTACACTATTTTTGTTCGGAGGCAAGCGCGTGTATGCAAAAACTGTGGAGCTACGCTCCTTCTCTTGAAGGTACTTTTTTTCATTGGATTGAAAAAAAAAAAAAAAAAAAAAAGGGAATAAACAGGGGGATGAACCCATCGTGTCTCTCCAAGAACCTCCGGGGATCGGCTGTCTGTGGACCTTCTTTCGCGAAACGTTGTCCCTGATGAATAAGAAAAGCACGTGTACGTGTATCACCGTGAACGAGAGCACGAAATTTTTTCGAGAGACAATCCGTAAATCGAGCTTTTTATATTTGCTCTGCTTCTTCACTACTTGGATGCGTGCCCTCTTTTAATTTTTTT